AAAGGGTTAAAAAAAGGGGTACATTCTGTAAAAAAAAAAAAAAAAAAAAAAAAAAAAAAAAGAACCCACTGCTGACTCTGGAAGTGAAAGCATTGGGGCCCACCCCAGGGAAGAGATGTAGTCACCAACGCTGTGCAAAGGAACGTGATGGGCAATACCCAACAGGCAGGAGAAGGGTACGTAGATTGTGTACGCCATTTCCAGGGTGAACACCTTCTGCAGCTCTTCCAGCACGGTGGGGTCCACTGGCCGTCGATGCCCATCAGAGAAGGTGGCCTCTGGCAGTTGGCCCTCAGGACAGCCCTTAGGATCCAGTTGCAGATCCTGCAGGCAGGAAGCCAGGGGAGTCAGCAAATCCACAGCCCTAGGCCGGGTCTGCCCAGCCCATATACTCTGCCTACCTGCTGCCCTAGCTCATGCAGATGAGAGAAGACTTGAAAGAAGGCGGCCACAGGCTCACTCAGGTGCTGCTGAACCATCTCCTGTCCGATTCGCAAGCAGATGAGGGCGATGAGACTAACGGTCTTCACACACAGGACGGTCCGGGCCTGGGCCCCACTTGGGAACCTGGAAACAGAGCTCATGAGCTCACAGAGATCAGCCTGCCTCTGCTTCCTGAATGCTGGGACTAAAGGAGTGCGCCACCACTGCCCAACTGGACCCATGACTCTTAACACCCAGGCCAGTATTATCTCCTTTCCCCTGAGCTTTCCAGCCCCTCCTGGGGGTCCCTCAACCGGGTGGCTCTCCCATGAAGCAGGGGCCTACCCTGTGACAAGAGAGGTGAGGAAGCTGAGCACAGGCAGCAAGACCTCATGGCTGATGCGGGGCAGGATGTCCATGAGGGTGGTGTCTGAGAGGTACACGATGATCTTCTGAGTCAGCGTCACGGCCGCCAGCAGCCCTGCCTCCTTGCGGCTGTTCAGTCGGCTGGGGCTTGAGTTGCTCCCTGGGGCCACCTGGAACCATAGAATGGATGAGGACCAGGCCACCCCTAGACCTCCTGGAACCCAGCGATTGGGGACCAGTCCTTGGGTCCTTAGCCTCCCCACCCCAGGCCTGCTGAACCAGCAACTGACCAGGTAACTGATGTAGGGCAGGTACTGGTAGGTGAGAACAGGCTCTCCATATAGGTGGGCAATGTGCAGGAGGCAGCTGAGCACAGGCCCTGACACTATGTCCCCGAGCACTGGCCTCTTCTGGTAGATGTTGCCGGCACTCAGCGGGGGGCTCTCATCACTGCTGACTGTGAACTGCTGCCGAGTGGGCCCTGCCAAGGAAAGGCTTTGAGAAGCTAGTGGAGGACAGGAGGGAAGGCAGCCTTCTAAGACTGTGGGGCAGCTTCTATTCATTCTAGATTGGGATCTTCCCTTTTCCCAATCCACGGAAAAAAGAAGCTTACAGGCTGAGACCCGGGAAGTAGAAAGAGTCCCCTGGAGAGGGCTAAGAATGGGCAGCAGCCTGGGAGGAAATCTGGCTCCAGCACTAACCACAGGCCTTACCCACATAACAAGATGTCAGCAGGCGCAGCAGGTTCCGGGCCACATGGCGAGAGGCTACCGTGGGGCCAAGCTTGGCAGAAAGCCAGCGGACCATCTTACAGGCTGTATCTGTAGGGCAGAAGCAAGTCCTGAGCTCATCAGATAACTTGCTCAACACCCTTCCCACCCCACCTGCTACACCACACCCTGCCCAGCCAACTCTGGCTGCAGCTCTGCTAAGGAGCCTGTCTACACTGGGCTCATCCACTTAGCCATGGAGGAGGTTGACCTACTGGAAACTGGCTTCTCAGGCAGGACCTACAGGAAGGCCATCCTTTCAAAATGTTCCCAGGCTTGACCCTGGCTACCACCCCTCTGGCTTCTCTTCAGCAACCCTTTTTAGCCTTTCACTGCCTCTGATGCAAGCACGAGGGCCTTAGAGGGCCTTGCACACATGTTATTCCCTCTGTCTGGGACACTCTTCTCATTTCACACCTATTATTGCCGGTTCCCATTCCATTTACACCTCAACCATTGCTTGCTTTTATTTCTTAATTGTTTTTCTGGTGCTGGAGGTAAAACACCCAGTGCCTCACACATACTAGGCAAATGCTCTACCACTAAGCTCCAAACCCAGCCCAATGTGTCCCTTTTAAAGATGCCTTCTTTGGCTTCTGAAAGCTACATCTAAGCCCCACTTTCCACTCACACATAGCACTAACCAATTACACTGCACCAGACCATTTGACCTCGGATGTGAGCTCTGTTTGTGCTACACTGGACCGTGATGGACCCCTGCACAGCACAGGAAACCAATATCTTCCAGGCCCAGGGACTCACCAAGGAGGATCTTCTGTTCTTTGCCTTCTGTCTGCTCTGTCAAGGGCTCCTCTTCCTCTTCTCTGTCTCTCCCATCACCAGGAGCCACGACCGTTTCCATGGACAGCATTGTGTCAGACAGAGCGAGTTCAGATGTTCCTGTGACATCATCCGTCTCCTCTTCCTCCTCCAGGATCACACAGCCTTCCTCCTCCTCCTCTTCCTCAGAGCCCTCACTTTGCTTCAAGTCCTGGCTACTGTCACCTGACTTCAGGCTGTTCTTGTCCACAGGGGCACCTCCATCATCCCCACCCCGCTCCTCACCCTGTGAGGTCTCGCTAGTGCTGCTCTTGTCACTCAGCTGGCCCAGACTCACGGCCTCAGCCTCCTGGGGCTGTGGAGATTCAGCCACATAAAGTCCAGATTGGAAATCCTCTGTGTCTGGCAAGTCAGCCTGGTCATGAAAGCTGACACCTGACCTGTAGTCTGGGAGTCCCAGTCCTGAGGAAGCAGCAGGCTCCCCGTCCATCTGAATCTCCTCCCCAAAGGCACATGAGCCAGGCCCAGGCCCTGGGAGCTCACTTTCCTCATCTTCAGTGGTTCCAACCAGGCCTTTGCTCTCTTCCTGGGAGGCCTCCACCCCAGCCAGTACCTGAAGGACATGGGGCAGCAGGTGAATGAGGAAAGCCTGCAAGCCCAACCGGACCACCAACTGGGCCACAAAACAGTCAGTGTACAGGTAGAAGCGGCCATGCAGCCGGCAAGGGCTCTCATAGGCACCGATGAGGGGCTTCAGGAGGTACTTATTGGTATTTTTGGGGCCCAGAGCCTTGGCAACGGGTTCAAATAGGTACCAGGCTGTATACACAGCTGTGTGTTCCTCAGACATGAGTGACAGCACGAAAGGCAACAGGATCTCCAAGCCCTCAGGAGTGATGTCATTTAGCACTGCACCCAGTTGCTGCCATAGAGCAAACACCAGTTCCCGTCCCTGGGCCTCATCCTCCACACGCCTCGCCTGATACAACAGAATGAACTTGTGCAGTGCTGGAAAGTATGGAGGGAAAGGGACCACAGAGCTGAAGGGGCTGAGGAGCTGAGCTGGGCTGGGTGGGGGCAAGCCCTGGGAAACGGGCCTGTACTCAAACAGTGGGTCCAGCTTGCCCTTCTTCACCACTGTGGGGCTTTTGGGTCCACTCAGCTGCAGAAGTGTGTCCAGCACAGGCTGCAAAGACACAGGAATGTCCTTGGAGTGGCGTGTGCAGAGACCCCGGACAGCCTCAAAGCGTACCCACAAAGGTGCATCGGGCTGCAGTGTCCGGACCCTGGTGGCAAACACCATCTCAGCCAACAGGACACCCAGCACCTGCATGTCTCGATGGAAGAGGTTCTGTAGGTGCACAGGTGGCTGGACCTGAGGCTGTTCGGGTACCTCCAGCTGGCTCCCTAGGCCTTTAGCTAGGAAGTTACCCATTTTCTCCAGCTCCTCCAAGGCCTGGATAGGACTGAAGCCCTCAGGAAGAGCAATCTTCCCCTCTTCGCCCTCCCCAGGGTCTGACCCACCAGCTTTGCTTCTGCGGCCTGGTCGAGAGCCTGAGGTTGCTGAAAAAGACAACAGGCTAGGTGAGGCTTGACTGGAGGAAGAGCCCAACTGGTCACCTGCTTTCCCAGGGAGGGAGATAGAATCCAGAGCTTCCGTAGCCTGCTCTAAGTCATCTTCCCCTGTCATGGGCCTGTCTCTAGTCCAGCCAGTCTCACACGGAGTGGCCTCTAAAACAAGCCTGCCCACCCCATTTATAAGTTGTCCTGGAATGTCCTCCTGGCCTGTGGCCTCCTGAATGGGCTGGACCAATAGCCGGGGGATGAGTGGGGGCTCAGGGGCCAGGGCAGGAGCCCCAGCTAGGCGCTGGGGATGTGGCTGATCAAAGAGCTGTACGACACCATAGCTGGTCAGGTGGGTGTGGGCATCCACCAGGTGCAAACATACGTTCTTCTCCTTCACAGCCTCTTTGCCCTGGAGTTTGTAGCCGAAGGTAAGGTCAATCCAATGGTGCAGGTCTTGGGACACCTCCCAGCTCTCCAGCAGCGCTCTATGGGCAGCCACAAACTCCTGGTTAGAACTGCACCAGGCTGGCACATCCAGGTCAGGCATGTCAGGGTGGATGGAGCGAAAGATAGAAGGATCCGTGTAGAATTCAGGGATGCACTCATCAGGTGTCCAGGTCTGCATCCGCTCCATAGTGGCAGGGTACTCATGGGGCTCCCACTGTGCTCGGACATGTCCACAGAGTACTGAGCGGGGTGTGCGCCGAGCCTTGTATACATAGTATGTGATGTCAGAGAGGACGTCAGAGATGTGATGAGGAACATGAGGTGGCTCCCCACCTCCTGCACCACCTGCTACAAATGCCTGCCGTGTCATCTCATAGGTGAAGTCCAATTGCTTATCTCCCTTGTTGAGTCGGAACTTGGATTTACGAAGGTCCCGGAAGCGCCCATAGGGCGTGGTAAAGTCTACCACCCAGGGCAGCACTGGGTGATAGTTGGGATCTCCCTGTCGTCGACCTGCCAACCGATTCAGCTGCATGAGGTAGTGGAAGTTGCTGATTCGGCCATGGACCCAGTCCAGCACAAGGCCCTTAAGTTCCTTCCGGCAGGTGGGACATGCGGGTCTCCCTGCCTCCTCTTTTTCAGATTTAACACCTGTCCTGTTTTTCTCTACAGAGACCTCCTGGTTCTCATCCTCAGAAGGCATCTCATAAGCACTCAGGTCCAGCCGAAGCTCACTGCAAAGCTTCTCGTCCACAGCAATGTGGTGCAAAGACAGGGCCCCACAGGCCAGCCCTTGGCGGTGACAGGCATCCATGGCCCTGAGGACCCGGAACAGAATAAAAAGCACCTTGGCTTGGCTGTTGGTCAGCTTGGCAGGGCTGAAGGTAACTACATCATGCAGGGAGAACTGTACATAAGGGTGTACCACATACAGCATTTCGGGTGACTCCAGAAGGGCCTCAGCTCGCAAAAGGCTGGGGCAGGTAGGGCTGCCCCGAGAGGGGCTGGGCCCATCTCTGACATTTGATGGACACTGGATGGATTCACCCACTGGCAGGAAGGTGCATCCATAGACCCTCTGTAGAGCCTGTCTTATAGAGTCTAGAGCAGGTACAGCTGAGGGGGCAGTGCTATGGCTATAGGGCTGCCCATAAGTACGGTATGCATGGCGCCACAGGTTCCGGTAATTCTGGGCAGCCACCTCCTGCATGAAACGCGTGAGTGTCTCGGGGTTACAGGACCCCTCGTCAAAGGGCAGGACTCCACCCAGCGGGTAGGACAGTCTCCGTTTCCTCAGCCCGTGCACCTCCACTCGCGTCCACCCCGGGGGCAGCCTCTGTACCGAACGTTGCAGTAGAGTCCTGACTTCCGCTTCACCCAGGCCCTCGGCCCGGGGACAGGGTCCCAGGCGGCGCTCGCGGAGACAAGCCAGCCAACGCGCGGGCACTAGGGCCACCACGTGCGTGCCCCCCGGTGCCGGAGCCAGCTGCCGGACATCGATGTTCAGGTCTCTCTCCACGCTCCGGAGAAGCTCCTCCATGTCAGGTCCTGGGGATGGAGACCAGCCCTCGGATCCTGCTGTAAGAACCACTTTCCGTCCTCTGCTCCCCTGGGCCATCTGGTCCTGGCCCCCTGGGGGCAACGCGAGGCTGAGCCTGGCCACGGCCCTCCTCGCAGTGGCTTCCGGGGTGCCAGGCCGGGAAGATTGGGATGGGCGAGGAGCGAGAGTTGGGGTGCAGGTAACTGGGCGAACCAGCTACAAAGGAGAGAAGGCCTGAGGCTCCTCTTACCCCTCTGCAGGGTCCTGCGTTCCGGGGCGCAGCGGGGCGTGGAGCGCAGAGCGCCAGAGCTGAGCGCCACCGTGACGGGTCAGCTGATGCGGGTCATGTGATCTCCCAGACACGGAAACAACCGCACGTGTCTCCAAAGGGCCCAGCGAGACCCCGCCTCCTGCTCCTGCACCCACCCCTGCGGGCCAGTCAAGACCCTCTATTCTGCTGCTCTTTTGGGGCTTCGTCCCAGCCTCGTTTGGTTCTGGGACCACCTGGGCAATCCAACCGCCCTCAGGTACAGAGGAAGACCATTCATCCAAACAGGGCACCGGAACTCTCTCCCCTTTCTGATCTCTCTCTCCTGCAGGCTCTGAGACAAGGATCTAGTGAGGCTTATCTTGGAAATACTAGCCCTCTAGCCAAGTGTCAGCTCTGGCAGCAGCAGAACCAGACCTTTCCACATGCACCCTCTCAGCGTCCCCATGCTGTTCTGCAAAAAAAGGAGTTTAATTTTTCCAAAGCACTTGATGACTAACTTGCCACTTGGCCCTCACAACGTTGTGGGAAGTAGGGAAGTGGCCCAGGCGCAGAGGCTTGGGGTTCTTTGAAACAAAATGTTCTCCTGAGATTTCCGGTTGAAAATGTAGATGCCACAGAACCAGCAAGTGTGGTCACAGCCTTGCAGATGCTACTATGACTCTAGGCAGGGTGCAGCAGAGGACAAGGAACAGAAACCAGAGAGCTTGTGCTCAAACTGCTCGTCTTGTTTCTGGCTCAGGTACAGGCCCGGCCAGTAATAAAACCACTTAGTGTGCTCCAGCAAGTTTTGAGTCTCCTAAAAGTTTGGTGCTGAGGTTACGGCCTTTAAAAGCACTTAAGAAGCCAGGTAGTGGTGGTGGTGGTGCAAGCCTTTAATTCCAGCACTCGGGAGGCAGAGGCAGGCTGATTTCTGTGAGTTCAAGGCCAGCCTAGTCTACTTGTAGGACAGACAAGGCTACACGAAGAAACCCTGTCTCAAAAACCAAATTAAATTAAAAAATGAAAATAAAAGCACTTAAGAAAAAGAGAGATGACTTAGCAATTAAGAACACTTAAGCTCTTCTGGCTTCCACAAGCACCCACATACCATACTCATACATGTACACATATATAAAAATAATTCTGTTTTAAAAATTAAAATCCAGGCTGGTCGGTGGTGGTGCACCCCTTTAATCCCAGCACTCAGGAGGCAGAGGCAGGTGGATCTCTGTGAGTTTGAGGCCAGCCTAGTCTACAAAGCAAGTTCCAGGACAGGCTCCAAAGCTACACAAAGAAACTCTGTCTCAAAAAAAAAAAAAAATGAAACCAAAAATAAATAAATAAATCCAAGTGTAGTGACACACACCTTTAATCCCAGTATTTGAGAGGCAGAGGCAGGTGGGTCTCTGAGGTCCAGGCCAGCTTGGTCTACAGAGTGAGAGACCAGCAAAGGCTACATAATGAGACCCTGTCTCAAAATAAATAAGACAGATCAGACAGAGGATCATTGCAAGTTCAAAGCCAGTGTAGTTAAGTAAAGACTTCCAGACCACCAGGGCTACAAAACAAGACCTAACTGAAAAAAGAAAGGGGAAGAGAAGAAGGAAGAAAAGGAGAAAGGCTGCCCAGAGAAAAGATATCAGTGGTTTAGATATGACAGATTCGACCTGTCTCTTCTTCAAGGGCTGCTGGAGTCCCAGATGTGCTGGATCACATGGCCTTATATGTAGTAACTTCCCCATTAATGGAGTGTTTACCACGAGTTAGCCACCTGCCCAGAGCCTTGTATATCTCACTTCATCTAATTCTCTCTCTCTCTCTCTCTCTCTCTCTCTCTCTCTCTCTCTCTCTGGTTTGTTTGCTTGCTTGCTTTTTGCTTTTACTGTGTACAAGAGTGCATGTGTGTGTGTGTACACATGTGAAGGGGTGATAGGGAGGTGTGCCCTTACCAGTAGAAATACACCATTAAAGCTTTGCCTCACTACCAGTTTGTTCTCTCTGCCTATGCTTCTTGGCTTTTTGATTCCGCCTCCCTGGCAGGATGGACTCATCTCTCTGGAACCAGAAATAAACACTCTTCCTTTTATTTATTTATTTTTTTAAAGATGAGGTCTCTCTACATAACCCTGGCTGTCCTGGAACTCACTATGTAGACCAGGCTGGTCTTGAACTCACAGGGATCTGTCTGCCTCTGCCCCCTGACTGCTAGGATCAAAGGTGTGGGCCACCATACCTGGCTAAACTCTCTTTCAGAAGCTGTCTTTGGTCATGGTGCCTTATCTCAGCCACAGAAAAGTAACTAATACAGATGGGATGTCCTCAATGATGAGATGAGACTAAGAAAAAGGAATACTTAGCCTGCTTGACCACCCATCCCTCTGACCTCAGATTGGCTTGTGAGGATCTTGGGCTATGAACAGATGACAATGACTCATTCTAAAAGGGCTCTGAGTTGAACTGTCAGGAAATTAGTTGGTATTTGTTCTACAAATGGCTGGAGAAGACTACTATGATTTCATGGGTGCATTTTCAAACATCAAACATCTTTGGGTGTATCTTATCTGCCTGAACCTCTCCCCACTCTTGAAGGCTATGATGTAACTCCATAAACACTCAAGGAAAGCCACAATAGACACATGAGACAACCCATAAGTCATTGCAGCAGGACAAGCCCTGAAACGCTCATTGATTCACTGTTTGAATCTGCTTTAATCACTTCCAAGCATAATTTTATGTAGCTGTAAAGTGAAGTTTAGAGGCTGGACAGATGACTTGGTGGTTAAGAACACTAGGGGCTCTTCAGAGAACCAAGTTCAATTCTCAGCACCAAATGGTGGCTCACAACTGTCTATAGCTTCAGTTCCAAGAGCATCTGATGCCCTCTTCTGGCCTCCATGGACACTGCACACACATGGTGCACAGATAAACATGCAGGCAAAATACCCATACACATAAAAATAAATCTTAAAAAAGTCTAAAAATAAAGTGAAGCTGGGCCAGGCAGTGGTGGTGCACGCCTTTAATCCCAGCACTCAGGAGGCAGAGGCAGGTGGATCTCTGTGAGTTTGAGGCCAGCCTGGTCTACAAGAGCTAGTTCCAGGACAGGCTCCAAAGCTACAGAGAAACCCTGTCTTGAAAACCAAAAAATAAAAAAAAAAAACAACAAAGTGAAGTTAATGGGAATAAGTTTTGTCTCACTTCAATAAAAAAGTTAATGTTAGGGGCTAGAGAGATGGCTTAGTGGTTACTTATTACTCTTACAGAGGACCTGGGTTTAGTTCCTAGCACCCACACTGCATGGCTCACAGTCATCTGTAATTCCACTTTCAGGGGATCTGGCACCCCTTCTGGACTCTATGGGCCCCAGCACTCACATGTGTACATACATGTATGCAATCAAAATATTTATACACATAAAAGAAAACACTTAAAAGAAAGAACGAGAGAGTGAGGGAGCCAGGCATAGTGCTTGCCTTTAATGCCAACACTATAGAGGCAGAGGCAGGAGAGAGAACCTTTGTGAGTTCCATGCTAGCCTAATCTATGGAGAAGGTTCCAGGCTAGCCAGGGTGACAGAATGAGGTCTTGTCTCAGAAAGAGAGAGAATATGCACAAAAGCAAGCTTATAGTCTCTTTTAATTAATTAATTAAACCAGTATTCCTGTACTTGGATATTATTGTTTTTCAGTTGAGAAACAAAATGGCCCATGAAAATTCTGTCTTCAGGTTAGATATGAGACAGAGAGATTTTTGTTTGTTCATTTGCTTTTTGCTTATACACACACACACACACACACACACACACACACACACACCTTAGAAGTAGGTGTGGAATCCAAGAAAGAATATATATATCAGAATCTTAATGTGTATCCAAAGTAAGTCTTGAATCCTCACCTTCCTCTCTCTATCTTTCATAATTTATTTTTATTCTATGTGAGCTGGTGTTTTTCCTGAGTTTTTATGTTTTTGTGAGGCTGATGGATCTCCTGGAGCTATAGTTACAGACCTTTGTGAGCTGCCATGTGGGTGCTGAGAACTGAACACGGGTCCTCCAGAAGAGCAGCCAATGCTTCTAACCATTGAGCCATCTCTCCAGCCCCTAATCTTTTTTTCAGGGGCGGGGTATAGAGTTCCAGATAGGGTTTCTCTGTGTAGCCCCGGCTGTCCTGGAACTCATGCTGTAGAACAGGCTGGCCTCAAACACAGCCGGTCTCTGCTGAGTGCTGGGATTAAAGTCCTGTGTCATCACCTCTCAAGTGCTGGGGTAACAAGTGTGCCTCATTACCACCTTCTGTGAGGGCCCATTTTGATGATCCGAAGGTTGTGCCTTGGTGCCAACAAAACGATCTGAAAGATCTTTGCTCTGGTCTCGGTTTATACAAACTGAACAAAAACTTTTTTCAAGTCTGTGTGCCCTGCCCTCTAGTGGTGATGGCTGATGGCTGCATACTACAACAGTGATCTTGAATGCATTTAAAATTACCTCTCTCTCTCTCTCTCTCTCTCTCTCTCTTTTTTTTTTTTCCTGGTTTTTCAAGACAAGGTTTTTCTATGGCTTTGGAGCCTGTTCTGGAACTAGCTCTTGTAGACCAGGCTGATCCACCTGCCTCTGCCTCCCAAGTGCTGGGATTAAAGGCATGGGCAACCACCGCCTGGCTAATTTACCTGTTGTTCTATGTCCTTTCAAGACTGGGACCTGGCCCACTGAGATTTCTAAGACATTGCACCTTCCTTTATCTGAACTTTAGAAAGCTTCTTGGCTATGTTATCTTGGGGGGGGGGCAAACCCAAGGCTTTTGCATGCTAGCTGAGCAAGTGAACTAACTTCAAGGTGTACTTCTGACTTGGTATGGAATGAGTCCCTGGAGCTGAGCTGTTGTTGAGCACCCTGAGTAGCTCTGATGCACAGATATTCAAGGCACATCTTGGAAAGTAAAGCTTTGGGGTCCCGGGGTATAACTCTGTGATGGGTGGAGTGCTTCACAAGAATAAAGTCCCACCACGACCATCACTAATAGTAATTAGCTGGGCGGTGGTGGCACTCGCCTTTAATCCCAGCACTCAGGAGGCAGAGGCAGGCAGATCTCTGTGAGTTTGAGGCCAGTCTGGTCCAAAAAGGCTACACAGAGAAACTCTGTTTCAAAAAACCCAAGAAAAAAATTAAAATAAGGTTCTGTAACTCTTCTCCCAATTTCCTTCTACCTCACCCGTCATTTCCTGAATTCCCGCTCAAGCACCCTTGCACTTTGGGGAATCTGGACTGAGAATTAGTCACCCTCCTTTGCCTTCTTTTTTACCGTATTTCCAGAAGTACACATTTTGGCTAGTCACCGAGGGAAACTGCAGCTGCCTGTGGGCCACCAGCCCATGCCAAGTGAGATCAGCAAGAAAGATGCTGACAGTGAGTGTGCCAGCCGTGGGTCTGGTAGATTTGCACTGTGCTAAGTGATTTCAAACAACTTCTTCTTAAGTCCCTACAAGAAACCATACTTTACTATTTACACTGTTTTGTAGATGAAGAAAATATCATTGCTAAGCTCACTGCCAGTCAGCACTAGAATATGAATGTGTCTCGTTCAGTGCCTCTGGACAGCCGGAAGGAAAGCTGGGGACACTTCTGGCAGTTATAATTGGAATCATGTGCTGCTGGCATCTAGGGTAGAAGCCAGGGTAGTGCTGACCTTCCTACTGTGCACAGGACAGCCATGTACCTAAGAAGTTATCTGGCTCAACATATCGATAGTGCTAAGGTTGAGGAATTTCAGCCTGAAACGTGTGCTCTTGGCCTTGAGGTGGGTGGGAGTTGGTTAGAGAGTGGAATGAAGTGCAGAAGGGCCACCACAAGGGTCTTGGGTGAGGAGGGAATGGGACTCCCTTGCTAGGGATAATGAAGAATAGGGCAGCTTGCTGAAACTCCTCTTTCTTCCAGCTTGGCCAGAGCCCTACTCGATTTCCCCCAACCCTGCCAAGTCAGTCCTGGGACTTCACACTAAGTTTGTCCTGGAGTGACCCTGACTCCCAGCACAGAGCTGGGGCAACATATTTACCCGGGTCTTCCTGTAGGAATTCCCAGAAGACGACTCTGGCTTCTAGGACCAGAGAATTCCACCTGCAGTACCTGAGCTAATAAAATGTTGGCACATTTGCTGTGGGAGGGAGTGGGTAAAAAAGATAAGTGGCACCTAAAAAGTTAGAAGTGGAATAAGTAGGCAAAGGCAGGAGGACCCCATCCGCTACCTGTCCTAGGAAGGGTCAGGTAGAAGAAACAGCGAGTAAGGGGCAGCTGGCACAGGAAACGGGCTCTGACCCACCAGGCTTGCTTTCCACAACCTTTACTTTTCTCTAGGCTTGGGCTGTTTTCCTGTACCATCCCCAGGAACCTATTGGAGCACCCACACTCAGCTAGCCATCATAACAGGCTCCCCAAGAGTGGCCTCCCCACCAAACATATCCTGATTCCAATCTCCTCCGAGCTCTGAGTAACTAAGGAGACAATGTTGGGGGAGGTGGCAATCCTGGAGTGATGGAGAAAAGATCCTGAAAGAGCATAACGCCCCCCCCCCCATGCTTGGGGTTCCATTTCCTTCCCTTACCACCCATGCGGGCGGGGGGTGGGGTGAAGGGGTGGGGGTGGGGATCGGAGAAAAGGAGATGGAGAAGGACAGGCGAGGAGGAGGATGTGGTTACGGCTGACTCGTCCCCTGGGGTCGAACAATCAGCTGTTACTGGGCGGAAGGCAGGAAGTCTCCTTAAAGGCACAATGTCCTGAACGCCGAACTTAGGAGTTTGAAGGAGCGTTAGCAGTCACCTAGTGGAGTTCATACTTAACATAGGAGCTACCTCGGGCTCCCCTCTCATTTCTCCGCGCCCTTAACTTGGAGATGGTGCAAAAGTCATGAGCCCCAGGCCACAAGTTCTTCTTTGGGAGTGAGAAGGGAGTGATGAGGTGGTCCCTGGCTTGTCCCTTTAAATAAGCAATTCAGCAGCTTTTGCCAAGTCATTGGGTTCATTTCAGTTTTTGCCCATCCCCCACTCTTCATACTCTGATTGGCCCCTGGGGAAGGAGCAGCCTCTCCATTGGTCTCCACCTTTGAAATCACTTCCCTAAGTAGGCCTGAGTCAGTGAAGCACTTTGGAGGGCGGGACTGAATGGGTATTAATCAGAGGATGGGGTTTCTGGCTGGTATTTGCCACAGATCTTCCCTTGATTTCTAAACAGCCCTTTCTCTAAACTGAGGATATGCTACAAACCCTTTGTTAGGAAGCTGCCCCTTGAGAAGCCGTGGGCTGTTAGGCGACTAGGACGAGTTATTAATTAGAAAAGAGTCCTCTCACTAGACCCACTAAGGGTAGACTAGCTCTCCAGTGAAGTCTGGGGTTGTGACAGTCGTCCCTGTACCCCAAAGCCCTCGGGAGTTCTGCTGCATCGTTGGCTGACTTCCATCTTCAGTTCTGCCCAATCTGTTGCTTCGCGAACTCCACCTTCCCTTAAATTAGGCCTTCTGTGGAGGCTGGTGAATCAGTTCTGAGGTTGTCTAAAAGTTCCAGGAAGGAGGGGCTGTAGCCCTTTAAGGACTTGCCCGCGACCGATTCAGAGATCAGTTTAAAAATGCCAACTCACAGAGCGTGCTGCATTCTGGGAAGCCGAGTGTCACCGTAAGAACTTCATTAACCAGGATGCACTGCAAAAACACACGCCTTCACTTCCTTGTGCTCTTTAAACTGTGGCTTGACGTAGACCTGGTCTAAGCAAGTTGCCTAGGCCGAGGGCTAGCCACACCTTTTCAGCTATTGGCCAGCTGGTTAGTTGTTGGGCGTGGCTTAGAGCAGTTCCTCCGGGCAAGGGGTGGCCTCCTTGCCAATCAGAGCCCCGACGCCGGGAGGGGCGGGAGTAAGCAGAGGTGCTGGAGCCCCCCGAGTGGGTGTGGTCACGTTGCCCAGCAATGGGCGGTGATTGGCCCTGGGCGGTGCATTCGCAGCTCGTGCGTCACGACGCCGCCAGCTGATCGGAGACTGGAGCCGGTGTGTGCTGGGCGCTGGGAAGAGACAGAGCGGTCGGCCGTGCGGAGAGGACGCAGTGATTTTGCTCCCCTGTCCTCAGCAACCCCCACACCCAGCATCAGGTGGGTGTGATCTGGGGACCCGGTCATTCCTGGGGAAATCGCGGTAACAAGGTGATGGGAGAAAGTAGGGTCCTAGCGACCACACCCTGCCCTTCTGGGGGAGGGGAGAGGGGGCGGCGGGCACGGAGAGGCTCCCGAGAGAGGGTCCTGGACTGGCCTGAGTAGTGTGTCTGGACATTTAAAGAGAAAGTCCCAGACAGGAATCGTGGCAGAAGGTCTGGAGAGGTAATTGGGGAAGAAGATGAGAGGCCGAGGGCTGGGGGCGTCTAACCCTGATGCCCTCTGGTTTGAGGATCCGGGAACTGACCATTTAGCCTGGGGAGAATCTGGGAGAGCGAGTGGTGTGAAGGTGCACTGCCTCTACTGGCGCTGACTGGGTCAGGGCTAGTTCAAGTCCCTGGCAGGGAAGGGGTCGCTGGGCGGGCCGGCCCCTCCTCTCGTTTCCTCCCGGGAATGTTATGTAAGGGGGGAGGGGAAAGGAGTAGGGGGCGGCGGTGCGAAGGCCTTATGCAACCCAAAGGTTAGGGTTTCACCGCGGTTGGGCGGAGGTTGGGGGGGCGGACAGGAGGAGGGCCTGGAAACTCTACCCGCACCCCCCCACACCCTAACTGGCCGTCTTGGACAGAGAGAAGGTCACCTTTGCACCTCCCCCCAGTATGTCCGGTGGTGAGGCCCCTAGCCCCGGCCTGGCCATGACCGCCTGGGAAGCCGGCTGGCTGGGTGGGGCGCCTGGGTTAGTCATCGCTGGGCTCCCGCTCTCCCCACCTCCTGGCCAACTCTTGGCCCCTCCCCACGGGCCTCCGGCTAGGCTAACGTCCCCACCTCCCTCTGGCCCTAGTTTCAGCCTCCAACTCATTTGGCCTGTCATCCTGGCTGTCAGTAAGCTAGGAGCTGTCATGGTGCCAGAGGGTTGATGGAGCAGCTGGTCAGAGGGTCAGTGCCCTGGGCCCACCCCGCCCGGCAGCCAAGGGCACCTGCTTGGCACAAACTCTCAGCAGCCAATGAACCCTGTAGCTGAACAGAGTCAACTTAGGCAGAGAGGAGTGGACAGAGACTCATCACCTAGGAGAAGAAAGATACCACAAAGTTTATGCTTCCCAAGAGGCTTTTGGAATTTGAAAATCGCCCACCCCACTGTAATCATTCCACCCCCTGAGTATAGAAATCCCAAGGCAAAATCTCCTTGGTCCCTCAATCTGGCAATGGCCATGCCCTTGGACTGACTGTGCAGAACCACCCTCTCCAACTCACAGCCCTCTAGCCTGCCACGCCCCCAGCCCCCTCCCTGGGCCATGCTGCAGGGCCCCGGCTTTTCCTGCTGATTCATGCGTTGGAACTATGGGGGCGGGGCTTGGAACTTGGAACAAAGTTCAGACGTGGAGGGGCCGGCAGACAGCTTGGAATTCATACCAGATGTACCCGGAATGTGCAAGCGGAATGCCTGGCATCTCAGAGTCCTGAGGAAGCTGCCCAGCCACCCTGCCCGTACATCCCTCCCCTCCTGCCTATGGTCAGCTGTCCTCTCCCTCATACTCCTCAGAGCCCCTGCTGACTTTCCAAACTCTAGTCCTCCTCCCCATTCTAATCCTCCTTCCAGCTGAATTCACTAGGAACAAGTCAGTTGAGTTGATTACAGACCTCACAACTCTGGACCTTAAGTACAATTTTTCACTTGGGGCCTGGGTTCTAGACCCTGCCCTTTGAATCCTGAAGATGCTGGAGTTCTCAACCGGTTGTCAAGTGTTGCTAGTGCCTCTTGGTCTGTAAAGCAGGGCAAGACAAATGCATTTAGAAGTCTCTTGCTTCTCACTCAAGAGATGAAGGTATTGAAAGTTAGCTAGAACTAGTGGGTCACTGTCGCTGTCACCAAGCCCTATTCCGAGTTTTCCTGTTTTTCCTCCCCTCCGTTTAGGAACCTGTGCCTCCCACACCCTCACCTGGCTGAGCCGCAGTAGTTCTTCAGTGGCAAGCTTTATGTCCTGACCCAGCTAAAGCTGCCAGTTGAAGAACTGTTGCCCTCTGCCCCTGGCTTCGAGGAGGAAGAGGAGCAGCTTCTTTGCCTATCATCTGGAAGGTGACAGAACTGGGGGTTGGGAAGGGCTGGACAGCAGGGGTGATGGATGGCTTTAGGGAAGGGAAACTCTGCTCTGGGGAGCCCTTACCCACACTGGCCCAGCAAAAGATTCAGGTTAAAGGCCCTGACTAAATTGGGGAATAGGTGGCTCCACCTCTCCAAGGTTAGTTGATCTCTGTGTGGCAATGGGAAGAAATGGAAGGAAAGTCTGTCTACCTGTTTATCAAGACTTCCTTGTAGCCTGCCTTTCTTATCTCCCCCCTCTCCAACTATCACATGAGGTCCAAAAGTCAGTGTGCTCATGGGAAAGACGACACCAGAACTCTAATCTAAGTAGTCATCCGTGTGCTTGCCTTTCTCTGTATTTGTTTTTAGATTGGTCCAGATTTTGGATTTAGGGGTACTTACCTCTATGGGATCCTTAAACCTGTCCATTTCTCTACCCGTGAAATGGGGAATCCCATAGATGAGTAGGCAGGAGGGCATCAGAAGTCCACCTGCGCTGACTCAGAGCCTGGGCTCTTCCTGTGGGTGGAAACAAAACAGCTCTTCATACAAATTGTTGTCCCTCCTCCACCCCCTGACTACACACCCAGCTCTAGGGGATTGGGGTGGAGGGAAAGATTAAGAGCTAGTGGGAGGCTAGTCCTATGCTGACTTCTCATTATACAAGGGTGACCCAAGGTTTCCCCTCCACCCAAAATAAGGCTCCAGCTCCTGATTGGGTCCTAGCAACCACTGCCATTTATTTTCTGCCTTTGCTTTCCAGGATAGTGAGACTCAGCTCAGTGCTGTGCAGGCAAGAAATTGTCTCCTCCAGCCATCAGGGGAGATGGGTTATATGATTTGAGTCCCTTCTGCTGCCTCTAGCTCCTGATTCATTCTCAAGCTTGGGCTTGGGCTCTGATTGTGGTTCAGTTTTGGCCCAGTCTCCCTAACAGAAGATGGGTTCAGGGGCTATAGGAAGCTGTTTGTTCTGCTTGGCAGGAAAAGGAGGAGGAGTTCTAGCCTATTCTCCATTTATGAGAAACTGAAAGTCATAGGGGAGAATAGATCACGTAACCCAGTCTTACTGCAGCCTGAGATGAGGGGTAAGATGTGTAAAGGGACTACAGCAGAGGGGGGTGGGGAGGCCGAGTCGCCTCATACACTGCAACAAAGATTGCTCTGTCCCGAGACATTGCTTTCTTCCCCTCCTCACTTCACTGGCCACAGTGTGTCCCTCCAGCACTGGGTTCATGGCTCTGCTATCTTCATCCAACATGGAGCCTCAGAGGTGAGGAAGGGCAGCCTGGAAACACAGAGGCAGGCAGAAGACCAGTGAAGGACCTGGCCTGGAGCCACAGGGCCTATCCCAGACATTGGTCAGAGAGGCACATAGAAGCCTGGAGAACACCAGGAAAGAGAGCAGCCAGCCTCAGTGAAAGACAAGCTTCCAGCCATCTCCTCTCCAGCCCTACCTCCCTTGGAGATGAAGAGCCATAATGAAGTATGGTCCCATTTCTTCTCTACCCTGCAGTTTCTATGTAAGCATCCTCAAGCATGAGCCACCTCTGAAAGGAAATACAGAGCAAATTCAAAGAGAGATTCAAATGTGTAACGCTATGGAAAAACATATTTTTGGCTGGGGCTGTAGCTCAGTTGATAGAATGCTTCACATTCACAAAACCCCGGTTCTAGCTTGGACATTGCCTAAAACTGGGTGTGGTGGCACAGGCCTGTAATCACTGGAGGTGGTAACAAGAGGAGCCTACATTCGAGGACATCCTCTGCTACACAGTGTGTTCTGAGCCATCCTGGACTACATGAGACTCTTGTCTCAAAAAAAGAAAAAAGTTTTCTTTAGTAATTAAAAGAAGGCAGACATCGCTGAAAGCAATTTTCCGTGATCACGATGTGACAAACAAATGAAAGCCAAAAGAACACTCCCATACATTGTGGGCAGCAGGATCAAACATTGTAAGAGACATCTTTTGGCCTTGTAATTTTGTGTTCTAGTAATGTATCTTAAAATCAAGATTTGGTTATAAAATGTTCATCCTAGGGTTACAATAGAGAACAATAGAAAGCAACTACTTGTTTGGAAATCCATTCCTCTTCTGTAATGAAAGTTTGCAGTAGGGCATTGCTTAAGTGAACCATATTCATCCGGATGGTGGAGTACTGCACAGCTGTCCAAAGCCATGAAGAAAAATGCTCTTTGAATATTAAAAAGATTATAAAAAGTATGAGTTTTGTGACCTTAATTTTGTTTTTTAAACAATTTGTTTTTAAAATATGAGTGCATACTTGTAATACATAGATCTAAAAAAAAATAAAGACTGAAAGTAGACTCAAAATGTTAACAATGGTTATTTTTGGATGGTGGGATAGAGCAATTGTGAATTTCCCCCTTGTTTTTTCTGTCATTCTAAGTTTTCTACATTAATTGTATATTGCTTTTATATGTTAAATAAATTGCAAAAGATAAATGTAGTTTTTAATTTTTTGTGTGCGTATGAGTGTTTTGCCTACATGCAAGTATGTGCACCATTCCCATGCTTGGTGCCTCCAGAGGCCGCAAGAGGGCTTAGAACTGGAGTTAGACTGCTGTAAGCCACCACGTGGGTGGCGGGAATCAAACACAGGTCCTCTGCAAGAGCAGCCAGTGCTGACTTCTGAGCTATCTCTTTACCCCCTCAACGTAATTTTTAAAAGAGGATTTATATAATGTGTCTGTGTGGGTATGGACACCTGAGTGTGGGTGCCTGCAGACCCAGAAGAGGTCCTCACATTCTCTTGAGCTGAGTTACATGCTGTTGTGAGCCATCTGATATGGATGCTGGGAATTGAACTCAGGTCCTCTAGAAGAGCTGCAAATGCTCTTAGCCACTAGAGACGACTATCCAGTCCTCGGTGTGTGTGTGTGTGTGTGTGTGTGTGTGTGTGTGTGTGTTTAAACTTTGGAGAATTGGGTTTGGGAGGATGGGCTGTACCTAGTGCCATGGTGAAAAATGTTTGCTTGGATCACTTATTGCTTCTTAACTGTGTGTGTGTGTGTGTGTGTGTGTGTGTGTTTGCTGGGAATCACACCCAGGGCCTTGTACAAGCTGGGCAAGTGCTCTCTGCCACATTGAAGTCAGCCTTGAGAACTTCATTCTTCAGTTGTCTGAATCCACCCACTTGCTCTGCATACAGGAAGCATTCCTCGGACTTTCTGGCTGTCAGCCAGCAAAGGAGGTGTGGCTCAGAGTAAAAAAGAAGGGAAATGCTCAAAAACAGTCACTCTTCAGGGAATCTGAGGTTGGAGAGGATGTTCCTCTTAAGGCCAAACCGTCTAGTATCTGAACAGTGTTACCGTGTTGTACTGTGGGTGTTTCTCTCTTTTGAGTCGGCCTTTTTCTTGAGACCTGGGGAGGGAAGGAGAATGTGTTTCAAGTAAGCAAGTATGTGGTAGTAGTGATTTCCATTTGCCTCCCTTGCCTAATAAAGATCCCCAGTAGGGGGGAAAAAACTCGGGGAGGGATCCCCCAATGGACTCCTCCAAAATGGGAGTGGGGGCACTCTTCTGTTTGGGGAGTACTATGTAAGGGAATTGCAGGTGGGCAGAGGGCACCTCTGCCTAACTGACCATGCTGTCAGGTAAAGGTGACGTGGGGCAAGGTTTGGGCCCTCAGGGGTTGGCTGCGCTGGCCTTCTACGTTGGGGTTGTAGGTATGGATGAGCAGTAGGTGAGAGATGAGGAAACCAGAACAGGTGAAAGTTAGTGGGCGGAGCCCCAGACCTATCAGTAAGGCTAGACTAGATTGCTTTCTGGAATTCTGAGGGGTTTGGAGACTCGTGGCGCTGGAAAAGACTTCTAGTGTTGTGCAGGAAGGCCTCTGAGTTTGATTGCTGGACTTGATGCACGGGAGCCCCCAAACCGCTATCCCCAGGCGGGGGCGGGACGCCATTGCTTCTATGGCTCCACGGGTGGTGGCCCCATAGCCGCACCAATCACTGCCCAGCCGAGGGATAGGGGCGTGGACAAGCAAGGGAAAGTTACAACATGCTGGGAAAGCCAGGCAGGCTAGGAAGCCCCGGGCACAGCGGGTTGGAAAAGCCCTTGGAGGTCTCGGAAAAGGGGATCCAAAGCACAAACTGAAGCCTAGCTGACCTGCCAGACCATGGCATCCCGGGGGCTCGTTGTGGTTGGTGCCTCCTTCGCAGCATTTCGGGGGCTACACTGGGGACTGCAGCTGCTGCCCACCCCGGAATCTGCTCGGGACCACTGGATGTGGCGGAACATCTTCGTTTCGTTGATGCACAGCCTACTCTCTGGAGCAGGGGCGCTGGTCGGGTGCGGAACTTGGGGATTGATGAAGCACTGAGGGGCGGGGGTGGAGATGAGGCTTGGAAAACTGAGGTTGGAACACTGGGTGTGTACCTTTCAGAATAGATGCGAGGTCTTTAAAAATCTGGAACTGGGTTGGGTTGCGGGTGGGTGGGAGTACCCAGGGAAAGAATGAATCTAGGTCTTGGAGAAATTGACCTAAGCTCCACATCTTCCCCAGGCTGTGGCTGTATCCTCAGATGGTCACCGACCCGATTCATGGCCACCCATCGTGGGCAGTGGTCCTAGTAGCAGTGTCAGTGGGTGAGTGTACAGAACAGTCTGGGCCATGGAAGGCAGTGTTGGAATGGGAATTCTAGGTCCCTCCCCGACTTTGGAATGGAGCAGATGTTGCTACAGGTTGGCTGTAGGGATTAAGGGCCTGGGAAAAGTGGGACTTGAGACACCTCTATCTATGTTATGCACCAGCTCTGAGGAGGAGCCTGAAAACCCTCCCCCTCAATCCCCCCCTGCCCACAGGTTATTTCCTGGCGGATGGAGTTGACATGCTGTGGAATCAGACCTTGGCCCAGGCTTGGGACCTTCTCTGTCACCATTTGGTGGTGAGACACTGACGGGAGAGGCCAGAAAGAAAGGAAGCACTCCCAACTTGAGGGCCCAACCCCTCTTCAGCCTTCCCACAAAGTCCCCTGAAAACCTATCTTCCCAGTCTTGGGCTGAACTGGAGGGAGGTTTTGACTACTGGCCACAGTTTGGAGTCTGGGAACTACCCAAAGAGTTTGGATCCCCCACAAACAGGTCAGGAAAGCATTGATAGAGTTTTGCTGAGATGGGGGAGTCATAATATAGGGTGTGGGGATGAGGTAGAAAAGGCCAGGAATGAAAGCTGGAGTGTGCTATGCAAATAGTGTAGCCTCAGAGTGAGAAAACCTCTGGGTGAAGGCTGCTCATGTCCCCTAGATAAGGGTCAGGTTTGGAGGGAGTCCTACAAAATGCTTAAGAGTCCCCAGTGTAAGGATTAGGATATCAGGACTTGATGGCACAGGTCATGCAAAGGTGTGACTTTGAACCTTGCCCCTAGGTAGTGAGCTGCCTCAGCACTGCGGTTCTGTCTGGCCACTATGTGGGCTTCGCTATGGTATCACTACTTCTGGAACTGAACTCCATCTGTTTGCATCTACGGAAGCTGCTGCTGCTTTCCCATAAGGCCTCATCCTTGGCCTTCAGAGTAACCAGTTGGGCCACCCTGACCACTCTGGTCCTCTTCCGCCTTCTACCTCTGGGATGGATGAGTCTGTGGTTGTTGCAGCAACACTACCAGCTCTCTCTTGCTTTGGTCATCCTTTGTGGAACTGGGCTGGTCACTGTGGGTACCATGAGCATCTCACTGGGTATCCGGATTCTGATCAGGGATGTCTTGCAGTCTCGGCCCTACCCATTTATCAATGTGCATAAAGAGACTCAGCAAACCAAGACATATGGTGGTGAGCCAGTCACCAGGAACAATTCCACTTTCAGTCTGAAAGACTAGAGAAGTGGAGGTTTCCTCTTCTGTCGGGCCTGGGGGCCTGAGGCCGGGAAGAGGAGACAGTAGCCTTCACTGCATAGTCTACTGTGTAGCAAGCGCTGGACTGTATTATCAGCATCTCAGGACCTTTTCCAGCTAACTCACTACTCTCCCCTTCCCAAGACTCAAGAAGGAATGTGGATGCTAGTGACCTCATGGGAACCTAGATTACTGCTCACTGAATTCCTTTGCCCCACAAGTAAGGACAGACAATGGGACAGGAGGTCCTTCTAGAATTAGAGAGACCTGGCATGGGGGGGGGGGCGTGCCAGAGGCAGAGACCTCATTTATGACCAAATTCTGGCAGTGAGATGAGAGCACAAGAAACATTATCTGTTGCCAGGAGAGACGGGCATGGCAGCTGCCAGTGACAGACAGAAGCCAGACCACTTCAATTGTTGCTGATACCGCTGATCCTCTAGGCCAGTCTACAAGTACTTGGATTGTACTCAACCCTATTGAGTACAGCCTTTCTAATACTTTATGTACTCCTTCCGACCTTTTTAAAGAAATGTAAATTCTTAAATAAACATGGTCTGCCTCCTAAGGCTGCACAGAGCCAGGAGCCACAAGAGAGACCGAAGCACCCAGTGTGATCACCCAATGCAAAGCTTCCCAAGCCTCTGGGTTTCCAGCACTGAGGCAGAGGCACAGCTGGGGAGAGGAGCCCCCTCCTTCCGCCCCCCTCCTCCCTCCAGAGGTGGCAGGAGAACTGACTGACCCTCTTCTGGAGTCTTTTGAAGGCTCTCTCCCCCCTGTCTCTGTAGCAAGTCTGCTATTGCAGGTCTCCTTCCTTTCTAGTCTGACGGTCCAAGTTACAGGTACTGTAAAGCAGATTAAGGTTACTTTGTGCTGAACAGTGGGGTGGAAAATGATAACCCTTAACAACTCACCGAAAAGATACAGGAGCAAAAACAAGAGGCAGGAGGAGCTTTTAAAAAGCTGGTGGCTTTTTAAAAAGCTTTTAAAAAGTTGGTGGCACAGGCCTTTAATCCCAGCACTTGGGAAGCAGAAGCAGGCAGATCTCTGTGAGTTAGAAGCCAGCCTGGTCTACAGAGTGAGTTCCAGGACAGCCAAGGCTATACAGAGAAACCCTGTCTTGAAAAACCAAAACCATAAAAAAAAAAAAAAGGCAAAGCTAAAAAGGGAAGGGAAGCCGGGCGGGGGGGGGGCCTTTAATCCCAGCACTCAGGAGGCAGAAGCAGGTGGATCTCTGTGAGTTCGAGACCAGCCTGGTCTACAAGAGCTAGTTCCAAGACAGCCTCCAAACCACAGAGAAACCCTGTCTCGAAAACTAAAGGGGAAAAAAAAGTGAAGGGAAAGAAAGACAAAGAGGAAGAGGGAGACAGATGTGCACAGACAGTGGTCTGGGTAGAAGAGAAAAAGATTAAACCCCATAGAGAAGCCAAGCAAAGAAAGCTTGAGGGTAAGGAAGAGCAAAGCTTCAGCAGACATACTGAGAAAGGTTGTTACAGAGGTTGAGAGGAACCCACATCGTAGCATTGATGAAACGATCACAAAGAAAGAAGGCAGGAAAAGCAGGAACAAAGTGGGACAGAAGGGGACCCCAAGAGAGGAAGGCCCAGCTAGTCTAGACACGGAAATATTGAAAGCAGACTCAGGAGAGACAGAGGTGATTAGTGGCAAATGGAGAGATTAACCAGAGAGGTGGAAATGGAGGAGAGGGGGATCAGGGAGGGACTGAGTGAGAAGCAGGGGGCAGAGGCGGGAGAGGGTTTGCTATATAGAAGCAGGAAGCATGTTGATCTGGAGATGGGCAGCAAGGCAAAGCACAGGCAGCTGCAGTGAGATGCAGACAGGCTGACAGTAACAGGGAGGCAGAGCCTGGTGGGAACAGGGGTCAAGTCAGCATCACACGTGCAGTGAGACAGGACAGGCAGGGCAGAGGGCAGTCACAAGAAGCAGGAACAGCGTGGAAAGCAACTAGGTGACATCCAAAAGAAGCAAAGAAGAGGAACAATGAGATGGAGAGAGAAGAAAAGACAAAAAGGGATGAGAAGCAAAGAGAGAATATTCCATGAGGTCTCCATTACAGTCAGAAAAACAGGCGCAAAGCAGAGAAAATAACAAGCAAAGACTGGAGCCTGGCAAGGTGGCACATGCTGATAATGCTAGCACTTGAGAATGACAAGCAGGAGGATCAGGAGTTCAAGGCCAACCTGGGCTACATGAAACCCTGTCTCAACAAACAAACCAAAGAGGAAAAAGAGAAAAAAAATGGATGTGGTAGTTGCAGCATTACCAAGATCCTGGGTTCAATGACCAGCACAAAGAATTTTTTTTTAATGTAGGGTTTGACAGGTGCTTTGTTTGATATGGGTCTGGTCACCAGGGAAATATCGTGGCCAGGTGAAGTAGTCCTCAAGACTGCCTCCATGCTCTCCCAGCAACTTGCTGATAGACTCTGCTTTCCAGCAGAGGGGAGGTGGTTCACTAGGGAGAGAACATGGACATTTTAGGTCTCAGAACACTATTCCTATTATACATGAATAAATTGCTATGCAAATGATTTCATTAGTCTATTGTGAATGTGACTGCTTTGAGTCATTTCTCTTGGCTCCAGTGGTATCCTGGCTTGCAATATCATGTGGGTTGTGAAGGTTTGACTTGGGAGGGGTTTCCTGTTACAGATCTCTTTGCCTCTTTCTCCCCTTTTCTGTCTTTTTTTTTTTTCTCTCTCTCTCTCTCTCTCTCTCTCTCTCTCTCTCTCTCTCTCTGTGTGTGTGTGTGTGTGTGTGTGTGTGAAGTTGGCTTGGGTGGAGTGGAGACTGGCATTGAGTTTTTCCTGATCCTCCTCCCTCTACCTCCTAGGACCTAGACCTGTGAGTATGGAATTGTACTGCCATACCAGGCCAAGCTAACATGTTCTCCTTGTTTTTAGTTAGTTAGTTTGTTGAGACAGGGTTTCTCTGTGTAGCTTTAGAGCCTGTCCTGGAAGTCCTTTTATAGACCAGGCTGACCTTGAACTCACAGAGATCCACCTGCCTCTGCCTCCTGAGTGCTGGAACTAAAGGTGTGCACCACCACAAGCTGACCTAACAACCCGAGTTTGGTGCTCAGGACCCTCGTGATGGAAGCATAGAATAGGCTCTCACAAGTTCTTCTCTGCCTGCCTCATGTGCAGTGTGGCATGGTTCCTCCTCCCCCAAAGGGGGGAAAATGTAAGAATTTTTTTTAAAAAGAAAGAAACCAAAGCAAACCCAGGTCCTGTGTGATGGCTCAGCAAGTAAAGGTGCTTTCTTTCTTCCTTCCTTTCTTTCTTTCTTTCTTTCTTTCTTTTTTTTAAAAGAACAAATCTGGGGCTGGGGAAATGACTCAGAGGTTAAGAGCACTGACAGCTCTTCCTGAGGTTCTGAGTTCAATTCCCAGCACCCACAAGGTGGCTCACAATCATCTATAATGAGATCTGGTTACCTCTTCTGGACTGCAGGGACACATATAGGCAGAATATTATATACATAATAAACAAATCAATCTTAAAAAAATTTGTGAGTGCTGGGCATTGGTGGCACACGCCTTTAATCCCAGCACTCGGGAGGCAGAGGCAGGTGGATCTCTGTGAGTTCGAGGCCAGCCTGGTCTTCAGAGAGAGTGCCAGGATAGACTCCAAAGCTACACAGAGAAATCCTGTCTCGAAAACAACAGCAACGGGAGGCAGAGGCAGGTGGATCTCTGTGAGTTCAAGGCCAGCCTGGTCTCCAGAGCGAGTACAAGGATAGGCTCCAAAGCTACACAGAGAAACACTGTCTGGAAAAACCAAAAAAA